CCCCCAAACGAACCCCCCCCCCCCCCCTCTCTCCTTACCCTCAAATAATTCCTTTATATAGTAAGAATATTAGGGGGAACCTGATACATTTATGAACTTCAATATACCTCTACAATATCGTGAAGCAGTGCAGCCTACTGCCCCCTGCGACCCTCGCCCATCGACCTTACTGTGAAGGTTGATCCGCGGTCGAGGGCTTAAGTTTAAATATGATTGAGCTCCATATGGGTCTACACATAATACCTCAACCTGCCACACAGGTCTTGTATGAATATACAAGACGGGTTGAAGTACATTGCATTTGCTACATCAATCATCATGGTTAAACATGGTTACTTGCTCCTTTTGCAGTAGACAAAGAATCGCAGATGCACTGGAGAACACAATATCTTCTCTGAACGACTTTGAGCAGGGTATCAAGAACTGCCTCGAAGTTTGATTGTTTTTGGCTCTTGAGCTAAAAACTTCCGCGAGAGACTACGTTCTTCCGAGGATAAGATGTAAACAAATGAATCATGGGCAACATGCCTGCTCTCTTCCTCCATGGATGAATTTTGTCATCCCAATCAATGAATAGAACGAGATTTAAGCATGAATCCCATGACTGTTCTAGATTCTTTTTTGTATTTTATGTTAATTTAGGTTTTGAGCTGCTAATTCAACATCAACAATTTCTTTTTTCGCATATATAATCGTTATGTTTTACCTGGGTTATTGTATTCAACCTCTTATAAAGAAAAGATCGCCCAAGCCCCTGTGGGTTGTATATAAAGAGATGCAAATAGATATTTCTTATGTTAGCGACAACGCCAAAGCTTATTGGAACAAGATGTTCGAGCATTTACAAATGTTCAAGGTGCGATTTAATTTTGTTTTGTCTAACGAGTTTGAATAAGTAATAGGCTTCATCTATTCTTACTTTTTAATGAATGGTTAGATCTCGCAATAAGTCAATTAATCAATGTGGAAAACGCTTCATTGTATCATGTTTAATTATTATTTGTATTGTAATCGATATCTTGAAATCTCTTCTTCCATCGGTCCTGAATCCCTAAAGCATTTTTGAAATGTGAAGTAACGAGAAATAAAGTGGCAGATTTCTTTGTATACATTTGTTTTTCTTTTCTGGTGTAATCAGCTAATAGCGATTTTTGTTGTGAGAGAATTTAATTATCATACACAGCGGAATTAAAAACAAATTTCAATTCCCACAAATGATCTGTTTTGTGTTTAGAAAGAAATTGTAATAGAGATCGTACCTTTTGCGAGATTTGCAAACTCTTTTGCTATTCCTTCGTTCTGACGATCTTGATTTATCACCCACAACTGTCCAATTGTTCTGCCTCCAATGGAAATTCACACAGAGAACAAAATTGTAGGGAATCAGAGTTCTTTTCTCTTGTACTAACAAGAAAATTAGAATTCTCTACAAATTGAAAACCCTAGTCACGTATTTATATAAGTTCAAACGGACTTGATTGAACCGATCCAATGTTTAATTAATCAATTTGATTAAATTCGGTCAGTGAATTAATTAATCTAATTACTTAATTCGGGCATATAAATAAGCGACCAAATTAATTAATTTATCTAACGCTTGTTAAATTAATTAATTGACAAATCATAACATTTCAGTTTTCCTTTTGTGTGCGACCCATCAGGTTCCCGATCATGATATCTAACGATGTGAACTATTATTTTGATCTAATTAAAATCTATAAATTAAAACACTCTTTTAATTTATCACCAACTCATGTTCGTCATCCCAGATTGACATCTAGCAATGTGTCAGGGCAATACATGCGACGAAAAATGTCATGTGGTATGACAAAATCAAATTAGTTCGTTTACCGTGAAACTATAATCCATTCGTCAATATGATCCGATCAATTACGAGATATGGAAGTGTGTCAATCCCGATTATTGATCATATCTTTCATTCCACTATTAAGTATATATAAATTGAAAACTCATTTTCGATTTCTGATTATATTTTAGTCAAGGATTTCGTTATCGACTTAATTGAATGAAATACCGATCATAATCTCTTACTATCTAAGAGTGACGAATCATCTATTGGTTATTTAACCTCCATACGATTCTTGACATACTCGAACGATACCGAATTGGCAAAGCAACATCCAATACTGTCAAAGCATGACTGTCCTCATATAAGGTACTATGACGACCTCAAGTCAAATGACCAATTTCACTACCGAACGTTAGAGATAAAAGACTGACACTCACACAGTTATCCATGTGAAATCTCTTAGCGGGTTTCCAATAGTTTGTTCTATAACAAAACATCTACGTGTTCATTCAAATGTTATCACACTTTAGCTTGTGAGATCAGCTACTTATTTCACAAGTAAGAAATGCCCACATGATGGTCTATCCGTAATAATGATATCCATATCTCGTCATTACTTATGACCACCGATGATTTAAAATTCATTCATTTGTAATTTGTATCTCACAATCACAACTCCTTGTGATTAACAAATTACTAAGATTTGAATATACGGACTCCATTATTTAATTTAATTGAATATTAATTAATTAAATAATATATCTGCCATAAATCGCATTAACTATATATTAAAAGTGTTTATGTCCAAAGTCAATTAGACCTAGAGCATAACACATACAAACTCCTAATTACATTAGATCCAATCACCTATGTATCTAATATCATAAGAGTCTACACGACGATTATGTTTATACTGCGATAACTCTTTGTTAGTGGATCTGCAATATTATTAAATGTGGGAATTCATTTTTCTCTTTACATCATTTTTATGTATTATCTCTTTGATGAGATTATATCGCCTTAATACATGTTTGGATTATTAATGAGACGATAGTTCCTTCGCTTGTGTGATGACTCTATTATTATCACAATACAATGACATGCGATCAACAATGTTAGAAACTACTCCAAGTTCATTAATGAATATCTTGATCCACATTGCAACTTCTTGTTGCTTTTGAAGTAATCATATATTAGGTTTTTGCTATTGAACCACCGATTGTTTTACGTTTGGAACCATTCCAACACACAACTTAAAAGTAAACCAATTTCTCAAGATTCAAGATTTTATTTATGTAAATTGGGATGAGTTAAACAATCATCTAAATCTATCTCTATAGATCACGTTGCTTATCCCACATCATTCATGAATAAATCTTTTGACAACCATTATTTTAACAATTGAAACATATGGGTGTTGTTTCCTATCAACAATATATCTTGCATATAATATTAGGAATGCGACAATACTCCTACTATCTTCTTGTAAACACACAATTCGTTTTTATATTTGATAAAATCAAACCTTTTGATTTTTCTATCAAATCAACGATTTCACCTCCAAGAGGCTTACTTTAACCCATAGTCACGGTATGTAACTATCGTAACCAAAATTCGAATGGACTTCAGCATGGCTACAGACGAAACATTTCATCAAGGTCAACACTTAACCTTTTTCTACTAACTTTGCTTTGTATGTATGGATATTCCCATCCATATTGATATTTTCCTTGTAAACTATTTACAACATATAGGTTTTATCCCGTCAGGATGGTCGACCAAGGTCCAAATCTTGTTTTCATACGTTTAATCCATTTCGAATTCTATGGCCTCCTCACATCTATTTGAGTCAACGCTTGACTCTGCTTCTGCGTAATTAATAGGTTTATCATTCTCGATTAATAATACCTGATTAGTAATTGTGGATTCACACTTTCTTAAAAGTCGAATGATCCTACTAGATTTAAATGGAACTATGTCCTCAAGAGTCTCTACTTCCCGATTAAAAGTATGTCCCTCTTAGGTGTGGGATCAAACTCGAATTCATCCACTTGGTCAACTATATCTGTGGACTCTTGAACTCTTTCAAGTTCTACTTTGCTCACACTGTCCTCTCACAGAGTAAACATTTTTCTTTAAGAAAACGATATATTGTGAGACGAAAACTTTCTTCTTAATGGGATAATAGAGTTGATATCCAAATATTTGCTTTGAATATCTCTCAAATATGTATTTATCGGATTTAGTTTCTAACTTATCCGATTCAAAGCACTTCATATAAGCGTCACTGTCCAACACTTTTATATGAGATAAATTGGAACTATTGTCTTTCCATAACTCATATAAAGTTCTGTTAACCAACTTAGACATGACGTGATTTAGTGTGCAGCACACTGCAATCAGTGCGTGACCCCAAAACGATTCTGGGAGATTTGCATGACTTGTTATTAATCGTACTATATCTAATAGTTTACGATTTCTCTTTTCAAATACACCACTATGTTGCAGTGTATATGGAAGAGTTCACTACAAGAGATTCTCATTCTCTCTTTTATAATCCAGAATTTCATCTTTAAGATATTCTCATCTCGATCTGATCTTAGTGTGAGGATATCTTTACCTATTTGTTTCTCTACTTTTACCTTAAATCCCTTAAACCTTTTAAGAGCTTTATGCTTGAATTTCATCAAATATACATGGCCATCTTTGAAGATGTAATTTTGGAATTGCATTTCATCTATATAATCAAGTCTGCAATGTCAGATTTAGGCATTATTCAAACTATCATTTTTATGTCTCATAACTTCTATACTCATTATAGAATACTTAGTGTTTCGAATATAGCCCTTGTGTAAGCCACATTATTTCCATAAAAATAAATTTTTGAATAATATATTGATGAGAAATGTGTGGTTAAAAAATAAAGAAAAACTTTGGATTTGCATATAATATTATTTTATTGAAGAATGAGTGGTTGAAATAATGTCAAATTACTTTTTAAGAATGCATTTTTTTTAAAATAATGTGGGTCAAATAAGGCCATAATGTTATTTTGTAGCTTACCATATCCATTAAGATATTTAATCAAGATAAGCAGGAACAACAATTGTCCTTAAGATTAAAATAGTTTATGTCCGAGCATGAAATTTATTTTAATGTTCCAGCTATGGTGGGTACAAAGCAACATTTCTCTAATTTCAATATTAAGCCAAAAGGCAACGGCAAGAAGTATGCTCCTACAAGTAATGCAGCAACATTTGCTCATCTTTAACGTCTAGGTCAACTTATCCCTTTCACAGTGGTCTAATTCTATTTAGTTTCTCCATATTTTTATAAATATGATATCCACATCTGGTATCAAATACATAAGAAACTCATGAAGTAGACGTAAGCCTTGCAATATTTCTTCCAATGATCTTTCATTCTATAATGAACGCAAGGTTGATTAAATTTGGTATTGTCCTTCGCTTTGACCATATTAGCCATATTTGATGCTTTTTCAAAGTCCCTTTTTATTTCCCCTTAATACTCTTAGAGAACAATGACTTGCCTACTACTAACTTTGGTAATGGGCTCAACAGTCTTAAGCATGTTCACCAACTTAATGAGTGTGCATTCGAGCTTATTCACATCATAATTCATAATTAGTATGAATAACTTTCTGACAAAGATTGCAGAACTAAGTCAATACGTAGTTCCTGGTTCATGATTGAACTTAATTGAGACAACTTCTGTCATTGACTGAAGATTTTTCTGTCACTTTGCTTCAATATAGTTGCTTGGAAGTCTCATATCCGTTCACACATGATTATTATCATACAACTCTTTGAAATGAAAAATCTTTTGTTAACATCTATACTTTCAAGTTGTTTTTGTAATTCAGGTGACGAAATGCAAATATCACACATAATGCAGTACTATTGTCATCACTGTATTAATTATAGTAGTCACCCTTTCTTTAATCGAGTCATCAACAGGTGTCTCT